ACTCATAAGTGGATACAAGATGTAAAGCAAAGGATAAGCAGACTGCAACCCACGGCTCCAGGGAGGCAGGCTAGCTAGCAGGGAGGACCCTAGGAAGGATAATGGATTGCCCAGTGAAGGAGAAATAGATGAGATCTACATGAGCAAACTGGGGATGGGGGGGTATGGAGGGCAAGGGATGGGGGATGAGAACATAGGGAGGTGGGGGATGAGAACATAGGGGAATGGGAGGTTCTAGCTGGAACAGGGACAGAGTGGGAGAGCAAGGAAAGAGATACCATGATAAATGAAGACATCATGGGAATAGAGAGAAACAGAGTGCTCGGGAAGTTCCCCACTGGATCTTACAATCTTTCTGCTTCCTCTTCCTCAGAGTTCTCTGAGCCCTAAAGAATGGAATTTGATGGAGTCATCCCATTTAGGAATGAGTGTTCCAAGGTCTCTCACTCTGCATATTGTCCAATTTTGGGTCTCTGTATTTGTTCCCATCTAGTGCAGGAGGATGATTCTTCGATGTTGACTTAACAAGACATTGATTTATGAATATAGCAGAATGTTGTTAAAAGTTATTTTATAGCTATGTAACTTTAACAGTAGTATTTGGTTTTCCCCAGGCCCATGTCCTATCTACTCTTATGTATTTGGCCACCTGAGTAGTGTTTAGCATGGGTTTCATCTCATGGAGTGGGCCTTAAATCCAATCAGATAGTGGTTGGTTACTCCCCAACTTTTGCACCATGATTGCACCTGCATATCTTTCAGGCAGGTCACCACTGCAGATCACATGGTTTGTAGGTGAGATGGTGTTCACCTTTCTCCTCTAGCAGTAGAGAACCTTCTAATACTGTGAACAACAATCAACAGGGATGAAGGCTCTTGGTAGGCACCAGCTCAACCTCTCTGTGTTCAATGAGTTTGTAGGCAGTGTCTTCAGGAATAGGGCCTTACATCAGTTTGTGCAGAGTATCCAATAGTTTTAGCCATAGCCTAGGTTGTTTGGGGTTTCCATGTGTCTCCTTTGGCCTACAACTCAATTAAATATAACCAATCCCCAACACTGAAGGTTTCATTTGGTGGCAAGAGTTGGGGCTTTGTCTCTCCTATTTGGTGATTCCATTTAGACTTATTTCATATATGTAATGAAACTTCTACTGTATTGGGTCTATATAATATCCATGAAACAGCAACTAATTTTAGTTGTCCCTACCCTTATTCCATCCCATACTTGCTTCTTCCCCCAAATTGGTCCCCCGATTCCAGTCTTCCCCCATGTCCATCCACCCATCCATAGCTATCTATTCTGTTTTCCCTTCCTAGGGACACCCTTTTATTTCCCCTAGTTTCTTACTCTGTAACTAAGCTTTGTGGTTATATAGATTGTAGCATGCTTATTGAACACTTAACATCTAACATCTACATATAAGCTAACATATGCCATATTTGTCTTTCTGGTCTGGGTTATCTCACTCAAGATGAGTTTTTTTCTGAGAATTTCATGATTTCATTTTTTGAACAGCTGAGTAATCACTGTGTAAATGTACCACATTTTTGCATCTATTTATCCATTGATGGATATCTAGGTCATTTCCAATTTCTGACTATTATGAATAGAGTTACTGTGGATGACTGATTGATAAATAAAACTCTGATTGGCCAGTAGCCAGGCAGGAAGGATAGGGTAGGTGGGACAAGGAGGAGAGGAATTCTAGGAGGTGGAAGGCTGAGGCAGAGAGACACTGCCAGCCACCCAAGCGAGATGTAAGGTACCGGAAAGCCACGAGCCATGTGGCAACTTATAGACTAATAGAAATGGGTTAATTTAAGACATAAAAACAGCTAGCAAGAAGCCTGAGCCATTAGGCCAAACAGTTTAAATAGTTTATTTTATAAGTGGGCTGTCAGACTGCCGGGGCTTGACAGGACCCGGAGAGAAAACTCCAGCTACGTAGAGTAGCAATGAGTATGAATGTGCAAGTGTCTCTATAATAGGATGTGGAATCATTTTGGTATATGCCTAAGATCTTAAGGTAAATCTATTTCTAGCTTCAGGAGGAACTACCACACTGATTTCCACGCTGGCTAGACTTCAATATAAAACTAATTAAAAAGATGCTCACTTAATTCTGATTAAGAGAATAGTCTACCAAGAGGAGATTATAGTTATTACCTCATATACATAAAACTTGTGTGCACCCAACTTCATAAAAAAGCACTATGGGATATTAAAGAATTTATGAACCTCCCTCAATACATATGTGACTTCAGTACCATGCTTTCAACAATTGACAGGTCACACAGACCAAAAACAAGCTAGAGAACCAAAAAGAAATGGATTAACTTCTAAATACATCTTAACCATCAAAACCAAGAAGAGATCAATAATTTAAACCACAAGAAGTGAGATTTAAAAAGTAATAAAAAGTCCCCTGATTTAAAAATAAATAAATAAATAAACCACCCTGGCTCCAGATGGATGCAGAGAAAATATTTACCAGATCATTAAAGAACTACAAGAAATATTTCCACATTATTCAAAAAGATAGAAATATAAGGAAAACTTCCAAACCTGTTCTATGAAACCAATGCTATTCTAACACTAAATCCAGGTAAAGATACACAAAAAGAGAACAATAGATCACTACTATTTACTAACATAGATGCAAAAATTCTCAGACAAACATAAAACAGGTCATCCACAATGATCAAATTGGAGTTATCCCAGTGATGCAGGGATGATAATATAAATATGTTGGTAAATATAATAAATCATATGAATGAACTTAAAGACCAAAATCACATGGTCTTCTCAATATATACATTTGACAAAAATGAACATCATATCGTGATAAATGTCCTAGAAAGATGGGCCTGAAAGCAATGTATTTAAACATAATAAAGTTTATGTATGACAAATCCATAGCCAACATAATCTTAAACAAAAAAGAAAAACTTGAAAGTCTATGAAAATTGGGAACAAGATAGAACTATCCACTGTCTCCATTCTGATCAAAACGGTGCTTTAAGTTCTTGCTAAGACAAGAGAAGGAATAACAGATACACAAAATCAACTTATAAAAATTAGTAGTAGCCTTTATATTTATATATACCAATAAAAAACACCATAAACAAGAAATCAGGGAAGCAGTCCCATTCACAATAGTCATAGAATGCCAAAAAAATAAGCCTAACCAAAGAGGTGAAAACCATTACAATAAAAACTTTGAATTCACTCAGGAATTAATGCTGATTGACAAATGTGACTTAGAAATGTAATGATCTCTGTAAAGCAAAGGATAAAGAGAGTCGAGTGAAGAGGGAGCCCACAGAGTTGGGAAAGAAATCCTCTCCAGACATACATCTGTTAGAGGATTATTATCAAGAATAAACAAAGTCAAAAAACAAAGCATCAAGAAAAAAAACTCAGTCAAAAGGTAGGCTTTAGCTCTTAACAGAATTCTCAAAATGGAATTCTGCGTGCATTAAGTAAACTATTTTTTGTAAGAAATGTTTATCAAGTATCTACCAAGTGGAAAAATACAATGGTGGGTGCTTTATGAAAGATGCACAAGTCAAACTTTTAAAAGTTCCTAATAATTTAGAAAGTTGACCACTAGAGTAGGATATAGGTACACATGGGAATAGTGCTACTTCATGTTGTAAGATGAGATGTGTTCCCATAGAATACAACCGAAGGTTTTAAGGCAAAGGAGTACCTATGAAGCTTGAAATACCTGTACAACATAGCTTTCTACCCTCAAAATCATGTCCTTTCTCCTCTGATCCCTCATCTGGTTACATCCAACTATTTTTTTTCCTTAAGGAGATTCCAGTTGTTGAACATTTTTTGTAAGTTTACCATTCCTATTTTTCATTTTTCTTCAAGAAACACTGTTAGTCTGCACAAAGTTATAGTGAGAACTTCATGTATACACCCTTGAGCTAACCTAAGTGATGTACTATGATGCTGTTGAAGTCAACCATGTACTTCTATACAATTAAATACTTCCTTTTTCTTAAAAATATAACTAGTAATCCTAAATAGATATTTTCGTTCCCATAGAAATTTCTCTGCATGCTACATAAGCATGCCTCACACATATTCACTTTACTCTATATGTACTTGTAGTTTTTGCTTTACATTTTTAAATTTAATATGCACATTGTAATGTATCCAGAAATTAGCTTTTTCCTGTCTATATTTTTCTCCACTACACTATCCAATATTTGGCTTTTTAGGTCTTTCTCTGTGTCTTAGGCCTTTCCGAATTATAGTATTTCCATGTACCATGCCTAGATGTATCCAGTATCAAGTACTTATTGTTTTATTCAATTTATTTTAAAGGGTCTCAATTCCGTGATATAACCTTGGTCCAATCACAGTGAAGCAGTACTCTACATCAGCAGTTCTCACACGACATTGACATGAAGGATAAACTAAAGGTCTTCAGAAGCTGTGCCAGATCACTTTGAGAATTTACTATCAAATACTTCTTGAATGGAGCTAAGGAGTTGGCCTTGCTCACCAATTCCCAGGTGCTGATGAGACTGTTGTTGTCCCATGTGTTCAAGTGGCCCAACTTGCTTGCAGACAACCTGGGTCACTTGTCAGTTTCTGTGACTAAAGTTCAGACTATGCTAGACCTCCATGTCTGTTTTCTTTTTCATAAGTGGGTTAAACTTACTAATGGAATTTATGGAGAGTGGAATTGGAAGACTGAAAACAGTTAAAAGTAATCTGCATCAATGACTAGTAGGCTAAAACAAAAAACAATAGACATCAATTGACTTGAGTTTGTATTATTGACAAAAGACTCTCCCATTTATTCATTTCAAATTCTATTTATTTTTGATTTAGAGAATATTTAAACAGTTTGGGAAGGTTTAAGTGCATATATTTGGATGAGGAATATTAGATGAGGATCACTGATGGTATCTTTCCATGTGTTAATGGATGTTAGATGATCTCAAATCCAAAAAGAACCGATTCATTGATTCTATGGTTATCCATGGCTTCCTTTGCCCTTAATCTGTAGGAAGAATAAGAGATAATTAACAATTGTAAAACATTGATATGAACCACATTTTCAATCTTAGGAAAATATTGTTCCTTATATCTGTCTGTATTTTTAACCAAAAATTGAACATATTTTCTTCTTGAAACTCAAACTCTTGTGTATGGCCTGCAAATAAGCTACCAATGCCAACAGATGCTGGATAATAAGCAACTTTGCTAATGCTTGGTGGCCTTGGTCCCTTTGTTGCAAAGATCAGCAGCTGATAGACTACAGAAGTGCTAGTCAAGGACTCACTCTACTAGACCATGTCCTCCTCAGGGTCCTCTGAGCTGTGTAATATACCTTGGAATCTCCGTTCAGGTGTTATAAAAGACAGCCATCCTAGAGGGAGCTCCTTCTATTAGGCACTCACCCTCCCAATTCTATGCTTCCTTTGGCAGGGTCTGGACCTCTTGGAGGGTCTTTCCCTCTCCTGAATAGGTGGGCCTGCAAGAACTGAACTTGTCATGCCTTGGGTGAAGCAGAATGTGGTCATTAATAGCATGTGTACACACGTTACGGGCATTGATGCATTAGAAAAAATGAAATTTCTCTAGAGGGACCTAAAGCCCCAGAGGTAAACTCACAGCATGCAGGATGATCTCCTTCCCCTGATCCTCAACCTCATCTTCTCCTTTCTTCTCATATTCATAGTTGTCATCTTTATTGTCCTCCTCCTCCTCTTCTTCATTATTGTAGTCCTGGTCGTCTTCAGCTTCCTCCTGAACTACGTCTTTCTCCTGGTCGCTATTCCAGACGTACAAGTCCTCTTCAACATCAGGCCAGGCTTCCTCGAGAACAGGACAGATATCCTCAATATCAGGCCAGATGTCCTCAGTGCAATGCCAGCGTTCCTCGACATCAGGCCAGATGTCCTCAATGCAATGCCAGCGTTCCTCGACATCAGGCCAGATGTCCTCAATGCAATGCCAGCGTTCCTCGACATCAGGCCAGATGTCCTCAATGCAATGCCAGCGTTCCTCGACATCAGGCCAGATGTCCTCGACATCAGACCAGATGTCCTCTACAACAGGCCAGATGTCCTTGATACAAGGCCAGACTTCCTTGACATGAGGCCAGATGTCCTCGACATCAGGCCAGGTTTCCTCGACATCAGGGCAGATGTCCTCGACTTTATGCCAGATGTCCTCGACATCAGGCCAGATGTCCTTGATATCAGGCCAGACCTCTTCCACATGAGTGGGGATCTCCTCAGTATCGGGCCATATCTCCTGCTGCCCCGGCTCTTCCCCCATAATGGCGCATGAGTCTGCCTGTGAACGCAGAAATCCTGTGGTTCCATCGATGTCATCAACAGCCTCATGGATTGGCAGCACATGGAAGCCACTTTGTCCAGCGTCGTGATCCATCCTACCACCTTCTTGCTCTTGGTCAGGTAATCCACGGTCCCGCTCTGCAACAACAGACATGGCAAAAATTTCCTGCCAGTGAAGATCTTACTGAAGCTTCGAGCTTTGAAGGTGTTGGTGGCGATGAGGCGTTGTTAAGGTGACTACCACGAAGTAGAGAGAGGCTGTTGGCCTCAAGTACCTCCTTGGAGGCAGTGAGAGCAGCAGGGTAGGTTTTCCACTAGTGAGCAGATGGAGCTGCTACTTGTACAGTACTGTACAAGAAGGGCTAGACAGCACCAGGGAGGAGCCTCCTGCTGAGGCCAGCCCCTGAAGGCTGAGAACCGGGTATGAGGGGGCGGAGCCTTGAGGAGTAATAATGGCCCCTCTCACACGTCACCAGAGCTGTAAGCTCATTTGCTGAGACATAGTGATTGACGTGTATTGTGTCCAATGAGCCTTAAAGGTCCTTAAATTCTGGGGACTGCTCAGAATCACACCTTTTTCCCTGAGGCCTTACTGTTTTGGGATACCTTTTAAGGTGATAGGAACCCTGTCTTTTAAATATCACATTGTCAGTAAAATGATAGTGTATCAAAATGAATGAGCTCGGCTGCACTGACTTCTGTTTGACGTGGGGTTATGCCAGTATAGACAGAGTTATAAAACTGCTCTAGAGGGGCAGGAGAGATGGCTCAGAAGAGCACTTATTGCTCTTCCACAGGATCCAGGTTTAATTCCCAACACCGACATGGTAGTTAGCAACCTTTGTAACTCCAGTTCCAGGGCATCTGGTGTCTTCAGGTGTCCTTGGACATTGTACACACATGATGTACAAACATACACGCAAGAAATAGCACCAATACACATATAAAATGAAGATCTAAAAGACTTTAAAACCCAATGATTGTATAGCTCAGGTTTCAGCAGTAGTAAAAAAGAAAGAGAGAGAGAAAGCCAAATAGTAAACAGTTGAAATGGTTACAGTCAGAACAAAGGGTTGAAAGTGAAAAACAATTAAACAGGACTTGGAAAGTGTTTAATTCTCACTGCCCAAATCACATCGATCCTCCCATAAATGTATTTTTAAAAAAAGAGGAAAAGCATGTTAAGTGAAAAAGACAGTCTTCCTAGGATTACCTAACAAAACGAAGAATTTCTATTTCATTATTCTCTTTTAGTTTTTTTTTCCTATAATTATCTTGTGCCACTATCCCATTGACCTCAAATCAGTGGTTCTCAACCTTCCTAACTATGTGAGCCTTTAATACAGTTTCTCAAATTGTGGTCATGTCCCAATGACAAAAATATTTTCGCTTCTACTCCGTAACAGTAATTGTGCTGCTGTTATGAATCTCAATATGAATATCTGTGTTTTCTGATGATCTTAGTTGGCCCCTGTGAAAGAGACATTCTACCAAAATGATCGTGACCCACAGGTTGAGAACCACAGCCTTAAGTGGTCATACTTCTTACTCTGCTGTACGACCTAATTTTTATTTCTGTAGGGTTTGAGCAACATGGACCAGGAAACAGAATGACCAAAGAGATAACTACTGTATTAGGACAACACAGTGACCTGCTTGGTGTCCTTGTGCCCATCACTCTAAGTCATGTTCACTGCAACGACTATGCATGAGGGTTAATAGACAGTCCCATGAAAGTCATGATATTTATTCATTATCCTCCTTGTCCGAACTTTTCTTTCTCTTCCCCTTGTCAATGTGTGGTGTTATAACTTCCTAAATATCATTAATTCTAGAAACAAAATACTAAAATCTCTCTGAAATCTCTTGGTTTCTCCCCCTTTCTGATTGTGTGGCAGTAACTCTAATTGTGCATTTTCATAAGGTCCTTTTGTCCCTTCAGTAGAGTAATGCTTTCCTTTGCCTACTGATCCACTTCCAAGAGGGCACCAAAATAGCCAGGTGGTAGCTGGAACATGCAATTCAAATTTTGTGCCTTAAAAGAATTCGTCATAGGAATGAGGAACTTTCTAAAATGTCATAGATGGCAATACTATGTGAGGAAAGCCAGTTTGGTCCACACCTCTCCACCACCACACATCCACACACGATGTTGCTACACACTGCATTATGAAGGTACAGCACCAAATATCAGTTTCACGTTTGGGACAGGAGTAAAGAGCCACAGCTATACAGTGTTAAACTTAAACTACTGTTTTAGTTATCTTGTTCCATTTGATGAATGGAATTAAGTCAAATGTGATGGAGTCACTAACAACCACAAACAGCTTATTCAACTTGGATGTCCTGTAAGGCCAGACTACTTTCCATTAAAACTGGGAAAAGGAATTAATATGGAGTCACTGACCTCCTAGTGCAGTGGGTCTCAACCTTCCTGATGCTATGATCCTTTCATACAGTGTGTCTCATGTAGTGCTGCCCTCCCCCCTCCAACCATAAAATTATTTCTGTTGCTACTTCATGAGGGTAAGTTGCTACTGAGCCATGTACCACTTCCTAAGCCCATTAGAAACAGGTGTTTTCTGATGGTCACAACCCACAGGTTGAGAACCACTGTTCTACTGCTTATGCCATAACATCTATCGTGAAGAAAGTAAATGAGGGTTCATGCACATTGTCTCTAGGGCGAAAAACAGTGGACCTCGGGAATAGTAATCACATTGCTGTATAGACACAAAAGTCACTGTATCATCCTGAAGAAGACAGTTCTCTTAGTGGTTCAAGAAAGGGTTCACGCTATGATGCTATCAACAGTGAAAAAGAATGATGCATATTGCAGATGCCATTCCAATTGACAAAGTAAAGCCCGTCTGTGTCCAACTCCACAACATATGCAAGCATATAACACAATGTCAGGGTACTTTAGCTTGAGATTATTTATGACATTTGGTTTGGGTCAGCTCTACACTGGTTTGGTAATCTCCATAGGTGCTGTTTCTCTGTAGATATAGAACATACAACCAGCATGACATAGTCCAAGACTATTCAGGCATCAGGAGATGCGTATGAATTCCCTTTGAGAGCAGGCAGGAATGAAAAAAAATCAGTAACATGACAAATACTGCTTTTACCCCTTAACTGAAGTAAACCATGGGGTGATTAACCATGCTGGGGTACTGGAGCCAAGAAACAAATAACATTCATTGTGTTTTCTTGGTTTTGCCAATTTCCTGTGCTCTACAGGTCTCTATCACAGTGGGTATGGGTATGTGCCTGTCAGCTTTGTATTACTGTACAATAATGCTCCAGATAAGTATTTAATAAGGATTGAGGGTTTATTTTGACCTATAGTTTCAGTCCATGGTTTTGGCCCTGTTGTTTTGGGCCTGTGATGACAGAGTAAATTCGTGTTGAGGATAAGTACTGGAGGAAACCAGGTTCCCCTTAGTTTGGCCAAGAAGCAAAGTGGTAAAGTGTAAGAGGCATATGCCTAGTGATTTAAATTCCTTACTATAGGCTACAACCAATAATGTTCTACAGAATTCCAGTAAAGATCTAAACCCTACCTATTTAGTCTCCACCTTATTTACATAGTCTCTTTGAACTACTCTGGTAACCATTTCTTCTCCCTTTATCTATCTATAGCCAAACATGTCTGCATGTGTAAATGGCCATTGTGACTAGAGCACAATGGTAGCATTTTTAATGGTGCACAATGTCTCCCATTGCTGCTTACGTAGACCTCTATTGCCTTCCTAAGTTCTACCAACCAATCATTATCACTGTGATTTGTAATGAACTATAACCAACAACCAAAATCAAGTGAAAGAATATAGATCGGTGTCACCACATACTAAACTGCCTCCTAAATTTGATGACAGATCTTTCAGGTTTTGGTTAAACAGGATGATAATACTCTTTTAATAACTCTAACAGTCCATTTTTCTTTCTCTTTCTCTCTCTCTCCCTCTCCATTCCCCCTCTCTCTCCTTCTCTGTTCCTTCCATTTATCTCCCTCATTGCTGTATTCATTCTACTTCTTATGGATTTATCAATGATTCGTTTCAATATTAATTCTTTGGTTATATTGATTTTTCCTTTGTTATTAGATACTTGATTTTTAAAATTTATTTGCAAATGTGTGTGTGTGTGTGTGTGTTGTGTGTGTGTGTGTGTGTGTGTGTGTGTGTGTGTGTGTGTCTGCCAGTCCCTTTGTGTGATCATGCATATATATCCCAGAGATCAAGCAAGTTTTCTGAGACAAGGTCTCTTACTTGCCTCCAATCAGGTGAATAGGCTAGAATGGCTGATCCGTGAACCCTCGATTACAAGCACAAGCCATACATCTGGTATTTTTTTATGTGAGTTCTCAGGATCAAACTGAGAGTCTAAGACTTTTCAAAGCAAATCCTTTTCAGATTAAGCTATGCCCACGCTTATACTGTATTTTGATTAACTATACTTTACTTATTCTTGTTTTAGTTTGAACTTTCTTTAAATATTTTCAGTATCTTAAAATGGAAGGCTCAATAATTGTGCAGAAGTCTATCTTTAACAGACGCACTTGCAGTGATGATCATTAATTTAAACACCACTTAACGTACAATTGCTACATTTGTCTATATCATGTTTTGTTTTCATGTATATTAAAATGTTTTCAAATTTCCCTTCTGACTTTTCTCCTAGACTCTTAATTATCTTAGTGTGTGTTTTCTTTTTATTTTGCAGACATCTGTTAGAGAATTAATAAACAGAATAAACAAAGTCAAAAACAAAGCTTCAAGGAAACCACTGAGTCAAAAATTGGGCTTTCGCTCTTGACAGTATTATCAAAGGAATATATATATATATAAATGTTAAGAATATCGTAAAAAGTGTTCAACATCAACATCTTAGGAATCAGGGAAATGTAAATTAATTTTTTTTAAATTTTCTGACATCAGTTAGAATGGCTTAAATGATTAAAAATCATATGACAACAAAAGCTGGTGAGGCTGTGTGGGAAAGAACAGCTCTTATTCTCTGTTTGTGGGTATGTAAAATGATGCAGACATGATGGAAATCAGTGTGGATTTCTAAAAAGAGATTTAATGTATGGACAGCTCTAGTGTTCCTGGGCATATATCCAAAAGACTCTAGGTCCTGCAACAGAGA